CATAGCCTGATAAAATTAATATAATCTATGTGCTTTCATGGATAGCAACTTATCTCCAAATTCTATGCTGGTTAAAATTAGGTGGCCACCTGGCCAATCCTGAATCACACGATCATCCTTAGCTGCAAGGGAGTTTGGGAAATGTAACAATTTTTCAGAGTGGTGTATGTCCAACTAAAACTGGAAATCCTGTCTCTGTGACATGAGGGAAATGGGGAAAAGGTACCAGGAGATGTATAGTAATCTCAGGTCTCTGGTGGTAATAAAAAGATTTAACTGAAGCTATCAGAAACTACCTCATAAAGTGAGAACAAAATACAATTAAGCTACACATAATATGAACATCAGCATCTTCTCTGGAAAGAAACACTGGATTTCTACACTGTATTTTAGATTCCTGTATTGTTTTCTCCCTTCCAAAAGATTTTGCACTCCTTATGGGCAGACACAATAGGTCTCCTGCCCCTAGTAGGTATCCAATTCATACTTGTCAATGGAAGAATAAATATGAGTCAGTGGAATTTTTATATTTATTGTCAATTCTTTCTCATGAAATATTTGGTACAATTTCTAGCTAACAAATTATTGGAACACTGTCCAGTTCAGGTCCACTGTAATGGTCCTAAGTATTAGGGGTGGGGATGGTGGTTGGGTCTTTGGTATGCCCCATTTGTTGTTATGGTGTGTGCCATTGTCTTGTGGGGTGCCTTCTCTATGGCCCAGAGAGTGCATGGGTAGTGAACTACCAAGCCAGGTGTAGAACCCAGTTCTTCTAACCTTTAACCCAGTGTTCATTCCCCAGCCTTGGGTGTAATCAGTGAGAAGAGGGGAAAAGAGAGGGAGTATTTCTGCCTGCTTCAATCCCAGAAGGCTTTTTGTAGAAGGGACAGAAGAGACCCTTCCTGAGTCTGAGAGTGTAGCCTGAAAGAAACTTCTCTAAGCAGAAATATTTTTACAGTATTTTGTTTCACTTCACTATTCATTTGTGCATGAATTCATTGTTTCATTTGTGTACCAACATAATGGAGTACTAAGTCCACGCATATTCTACCTGAGGAGAGACAAAGCCCAGCAGTCTTGGAGCATATATTCTCCTGCAGAATGGACAGTGAACAAATAAGGATATACATCAGCAAAATAATTTCTGATTGTGCTAAGTGGTCTAAAAGCAAAACAATCTATTACAGAACACATATATGTCTCTGTAGCTCTGTTGAGTCACCCATAAAATGCAAATAGAGGTCTGCAATTCCAAAATCCCAAATATGAAAGCTTTGTCCTCACCTGATGGCCATACGACATGATCTGATGCATTTGGAGGAGAATCTTTATCTAAACTTAAGATCTAGTTATTCTTTTTTTTTAACAAAAAACCCCACTCAGAGCAGAAAATCCTGTGTACCACTGCAGAAATTTATGTGTTCAGTTGGGGCCTGCTGCCCAAACCCCAGTAGCTTATATATAATACAAGGTACGTGCATCATGAAATCTGAAAACTTTTGAAATCCAGAACACATCTAGCCCCAAAGATATTAGATAGGGGATAGAAGACCTGTAATACTTTCTCATGTTGCTACTGTGAGCATTAAATTAGTGAATATATATATATATATTTCAAGGTCAGGGAGGCAGAGTAGAGCCAGAATATACACAATATAAACAGTAGAAGAAAGACTTTATTTCATTCAAAGTGTAATAGATCAATGTAATTGATCTGCCTCACATGCATAGAGAACGCTCTGAAACTGATTGAAAAATTGTACAGAAGGAGGTGAAGGGGGAGATCAGTTGGGGGCCATTGCAATAGTCCAGGTGAGAGAAAAGACTAACTGGGATAGGGAAGTGGCAGCAGGCTAGGGGAAAGGTGGATACATGCAAGACAAAATTTAGAAATAAGGGGAAAATTGGTTTTCTAATAAAGTTTGTATTTGAATTTATAGGTCAGTGTGTAAAGCCTGAAGATGTCACAGTCACTGTCTCCAATACAGGTTTATAAGAGGAGTTCTCTTGTTCACCTTCCCATTTGAACAGGCACTTCCTACTTCCTATTATCTCTCCCCCATTCTGCTTCTTATTTAAGGACAGAGATATTTAAAGAAAATAAGTGATTTGAAAGAAAAAAAGTGGAAATAGAGGTGTTGTATGAATGTGAAGGCGAATAAGCGTTGGAGGGAGAGGAGGGGCAGGGGACAAAGAAAAGGACTAAGATGTTTTGTGTACAGGTGCACATCCCCCATGATTAAAGTAATCATTATGCACTGGAAGTATGTACTAATAAAAAATAAAATATGAGAAGAAAACAAGAGGGAGGGAGAGAAGGAGCAGTTCTGTGCATCTCTCCCTAGCTCGGCATTCAGTGAGATCACATTTGCAGTCTGAAATCGGCCATGGTAGGAATACCTATGCTGTCTGTGCTAAGTACTACAAAGCAGGACTTAACATGAAGGGGTTTTGTCACGGGTGTGGGGTGGAGAGGGAAAGCCAGTTGTTAAACATTTGCCAGCATGTCACTGGTTAAGGCATCACTTTATTTTCCCATAAGCAAACTTCTTTAAAGTCTTTACTTTCCTCATTCCACAAAATACTTCAATATCTTAGAAATCTTAGCTTGATGGTTCTGGTCTCAGTTGCTTCATGTTTCTAAGTCAGTTCATTGCGGGACACTCCCACTTCTTCCTAAGGTCTCATGCAGATTCACCTTGAATGGCATGAAAGGAGAACATTGGGTTCGTGATAGTCCTTTATCCATGTCGTCCCCTCTGGAACACTACTCACCTCCCTGTTGTGCAATATCACTCTTAGCAGCATTGCTTATCGCCTTCTGATGGTGAGCTGCATGCACCTGTCACGTCTTCTGACAGAAATACAGCTAAGGCTATGATCCAGGATCTGGAATCATTACCAGGACCCACATAAAGGGCTCACTCTCCTTTGTTCCTTTCTGTCTTCTAAAGCCATTCATCTTTTGTTGACTCAGTCTCTCCCTATGGACTGAATAGTAAACATTTTCTGTAAGTCTTACAGTAATATTTATGCTCTAAGAAGACATGCCATATTTACGTAAGAACTTCTTGTATCCTTGACTGCCTATTGGCATATGCTCCCAGGTATTTGAGTGCTCCAGTTACAGCAATATAGCTTTGAAGGATAACTAGAATTCTGGGGGAGGCGGGGAATGGTAGGAGAGAGTGTCCCAAGCAGAGAGACTTGTAAGTTGGAGACCTTGGACTTAGCATTAAAAGAGTTGTGTCAAGTAAACTTCCACAAGCAGACAGGGATAAATTATGGAAGATTTCAGATCTCATGATGAAAAGTCGGAGCTCATACTCTAAACAAGAAAACCAAAAGAAAGCCATTTTGGAGACACTGGAGCAAGAGAATGATTCGTGTTTGGGAAGCTTGATGGATAATATGGACTGGAAGAGTGCCAGCCTAGAGATAAGCCTTTGGACTGAGCAAGGGCAGAGTAACCCCAGGTGGTACTGTGTTAGCTAAAATGGGAAAGCAAGAGGATGTTGAGGATGATGATGAAGGAGGTCAACTGGTCTCAGCGAATGGCCTTAATGTGACAGGGAGGAAAAGCCAGGGTAGTGGAAGAGGAAAAAAGAAAATGTCACGTACCTAACTTCAACAAACTTTAGGCATGTAAAGGGGGATAAAAAACTTCTTTGAGATCCTTTTGAGCTATCTTACACTGGCAAAAAAGAAAGGTGGGGGAACATTTGTTTGTTTACCTCCTGTTAGAGGAATTTAGTTAAATAGATGTTTGGTCTATTAGATATTAATATGATTGGTGGATTCGCTCAACTGGGAGGACAAATCATTAATTGAGGTAGAATGCTACTGTAGAAATACAGGTTGGATCTTCCCATGTACAAGTTCTGGTTCAATGAAAACCAGTGATCTGAAATAAAATATTGATAGAAATCTTGAAACAGGACAGTGAGCCCATGGTTAAACCACCCTCTAAGGCAGAGATAGTTGAGTGTAACATGGTGAGTAGCAAAGCTCTTTGGCATTTTTCACATATTCTCTTTAAAGGCCTTTCTTTCCAGGGTTCCTATGTCTTTTGTGCTAAATCTACATGCCCAAGAATCACCTTTCTGTGTAGGTTCCTATGTATCCCATTTTGCCTCGAGACTCTTGGTTTATGTATATAGTCTTAGAATAATTATTAACAGCTGACCTCTCACTCCTGTAGGGACTCCATTTGATCAATTGTACAGTTACACATCATTCAGACTTCAACATCTGCTACTACCTTCTACTCTTGAAATTTATGCACTGCAAACTCAATGTGTAGGGAAAACACATATCTCCATCTTGGAGATGATTTCCAAAAATAATCCAAGTTGATAACCAGCTTATTGAATGGTAGGAGCAATGTGGCAGGAATGTATATTTGATAATCAAGTGCCGTTTGTTAAGTGGGTGACCCTGGGAAAGCCAGTTAATATTGTTAATCTGTGTCTTAATTTGCAATACAGGGATCATGGATCTTTACCTGCAAGAATATTATGGGGCTTGAATATTATGAAGCACCCCAATGATATGTACCATGGCAGCCTTAGAAAGTAAACATAAATTACTAAAAATCTTAAGGCATTACTCTTCCCAAGTGTACTTTTGTTTGTAAACATTTCTTGAAACTTCAAATTTCCAACTTTGGCAGCTAGTCGATGGCTTTTCCATGGTAGCATACTGCATAACAGCAAGTATGAAAATGCTGCTTCTACATCTTGAAAGCTATTTTGCTAGAAAGCTAAGGTTCTAAAAGTTAGATATACATATATAGAGATATAGAGATATGGAGATATAGAGATAGATATATAGATAGATGAAAAGCTCAGTGACTGACAAATAAAATTCCAGGGTTGGAAGTGCTGTTTAGACCATTAAGAACAGGATCTGAGTTGTTTACTTTTACAGTGTAGCAAAAGAGGGACAGCAATTTTTGGTATATTGTAGAACAATAATTTATTCATTCTTGCATTTTTCAGGGGCTTCCAACGTGGACACTGAAGAAACAATTTCTTATCCTTTTAAATATGGTTCTAATTTCCAAACTTCTTGGGGATAGATGGTTTCCTAAAACCTTGCCCTGTGATGTCAGTCTAGATCCTTCAAATACCCATGTGATTGTGGACTGCACAGATAAGCACTTGACAGAAATTCCTAAAGGTATTCCCACCAATGCCACCAACCTCACCCTCACTATTAACCACATACCAAGCATTTCCCCAGACTCCTTCCACAACCTGGACCATCTAGTAGAAATCGATTTCAGATGCAACTGTATACCTATTCGAACCGGGCCCAAAAACAACGTGTGTACCAGAAGGCCACAGATTAAACCCAGAAGCTTTAGTAGACTCATTTATTTAAAATCCCTTTACCTGGATGGAAACCAACTTCTAGAGATACCTCAGGACCTTCCACCAAGCTTGCAGCTTCTGAGCCTTGAGGCCAACAATATCTTTTTCATCATGAAGGAGAACCTAACGGAACTGGTCAACATAGAAATGCTCTACTTGGGCCAAAACTGTTATTATCGCAATCCTTGTAATGTTTCCTATTCAATTGAAAAAAATGCCTTCCTAGACCTTAGAAATTTAAAAGTGCTCTCACTGAAAGCTAACAACATCACAGCTGTCCCCACTCTTTTGCCATCTAATTTAACAGAACTATATCTTCACAATAACATCATCACTAAGATCCAAGAAGATGATTTTAATAGCCTCAACCAATTGCAAATTCTTGACCTAAGTGGAAATTGCCCTCGTTGTTATAATGTCCCGTTTCCTTGCACGCCCTGTGAAAATAATTCACCTCTGAACATTCACATAAATGCTTTTGATGCATTGACAGAGCTACAGACATTACGTCTACACAGCAACTCTCTTCAGCATGTGCCCCCAAGATGGTTTAAAAATATGAAAAATCTTAAAGTACTAGACCTTTCCCAAAACTACCTGGCCAAAGAAATTGGGGATGCCAAATTTTTGCATTTTATCCCCAACCTCATCCAATTGGATATGTCTTTCAATTATGAACTTCAGGTCTACCATACATCTATAAATCTATCACATTCTTTTTCTTCATTGAAAAACCTGAAAATTTTGCGAATTAAAGGATATGTTTTTAAAGAACTGAAAAGCTTTAATCTTTCTCCATTACATAATCTTCACAACCTTGAAGTTCTTGATCTAGGCACTAACTTTATAAAAATTGCTAACCTCAGCATTTTTGAACAATTTCAAAATTTGAAAGTCTTAGATCTTTCAATGAATAAAATATCACCTTCAGGAGATTCAAGTGAAACTGGCTCCTGCTCTAACACTATAACTTCTGTAGAAAGCCATGGACCCCAGGTCCTTGAGACATTACATTATTTCAGGTATGATGAGTATGCAAGGAGTTGCAGGTTCAAAAACAAGGAGACTCCTACCTTGGCTTTTAATAATGATTGCTATATGTATGGGCAAACCTTGGACCTGAGTAGAAACAATATATTTTTTATCAAGCCCTCCGATTTTCAGCACCTTTCCTTCATTAAGTGCCTCAACTTGTCAGGAAATGCGATTGGCCAAACTCTCAATGGCAGTGAATTCCAGTATTTACAACAGCTGAAATACTTAGACTGCTCTAATAACCGGCTTGATTTACTTTATTCAACAGCATTTGAGGAGCTTCACAACCTGGAAGTTCTGGATTTAAGTAGCAACAGCTATTATTTTCAATCAGAAGGAATTACTCACATGCTCAACTTTACCAAGAACCTAAAGTTTCTGAAGAAATTGATGATGAACAATAATGACATCTCTACCTCCACCAGCAGGACCATGGAGAGCAAATCTCTCAAAATTCTGGAATTCAGAGGAAATCACTTAGATATTTTATGGCGAGATGGTGATAACAGATATTTAAATTTCTTCAAGAATCTGCTAAACTTAGAAGAATTAGACATCTCTAGAAATTCCCTGAATTTCTTGCCTCCTGATGTTTTCGATGGGATGCCTCCAAAACTGAAGAACCTCTCTTTGGCCAAAAATGAGCTCAAATCTTTCAACTGGGGAAAACTCCAGTTGCTGAAGAATCTGGAAATTTTGGATCTCAGCCACAACCAACTGACAACTGTCCCTGATAGATTATCCAACTGTTCCAGAAGCCTCAAGAAATTGATTCTTATGAGGAATCAAATCAGACATCTGACAAAGCATTTTCTAGAAGATGCTTTCCAGTTGAGATATCTAGACCTCAGTTCAAATAAAATCCAGATTATCCAAAAAACTAGCTTCCCACAAAATGTCCTCAACAATCTAGAGATGTTGCTTCTACATCATAATCACTTTCTGTGCAATTGCGATGCTGTGTGGTTTATCTGGTGGGTCAATCATACAGAGGTGACTATTCCTTACCTGGCCACAGAAGTGACTTGTATGGGGCCAGGAGCACACAAAGGCCAGAGTGTTGTCTCTCTGGATCTGTATACCTGTGAGTTAGACCTGACTAACCTGATTCTGTTCTCGTTTTCCATATCTGTAGCTCTCTTTCTGATGGTGGTTATGACAGTAAGTCACTTGTACTTCTGGGATATGTGGTATATTTACCATTTCTGTAAGGCCAAGATAAGGGGGTATCAGCGTCTGCGATCAGCAGAGTGTTGCTATGATGCTTTTATTGTGTATGACACTAAAGACCCAGCTGTGACAGAGTGGGTTTTGGATGAGTTGGTGGCCAGGTTGGAAGACCCAAGAGAGAAACATTTTAATTTATGTCTGGAAGAAAGGGACTGGCTACCAGGGCAGCCAGTTCTGGAAAACCTTTCACAGAGCATACAGCTTAGCAAAAAGACGGTGTTTGTGATGACAGAAAAGTATGCAAAGACTGAGAATTTTAAAATCGCATTTTACTTATCCCATCAGAGGCTCATGGATGAAAAAGTAGATGTGATTATCTTGATATTCCTTGAAAAGCCCCTTAAGAAGTCCAAGTTTCTTCAGCTCCGGAAAAGGCTCTGTGGAAGTTCTGTCCTTGAATGGCCAACAAATCCACAGGCTCACTCGTATTTCTGGCAGTGTCTTAAAAATGCTCTGGCCATGGACAATCATGTGGCCTATAGTCAGATGTTCAAGGAAACTGTCTAGTTATTCTTTCCTAAATGTGACCACTTAACTTACCCAGGTAATGCCTGGCTGCGTGAATTTCCTCAAAAATACATCATTGAAAGAGTGTTTTGGAATTCTCCAAAAGCTGGGATTTCCCATATGAGAGGGGAGCCACCAATGTATGGCAAAGGAATAGGAAAGATGGTATTTATGTAATGCATCAAGTTTTCTTTCTTATTTTTTATAGTTCCTTTTGCCTGTGAATCTCTTGACTTAGCTCTTGTATAAAATACTGTTGGCAGAAGGATGGCAAAGAGAAAGCTCAAGACTCTGCTTCACCTGCAACTGTAATTATTACATGCATATGCAGTGATGATATTGAGAAGAACCACATTTTTACCATTAACAAGTACTGACGTGTTCCAAAATAGGATGAAATATACTTAAGCTCTGTCTACATGACACAAAACGGTACCAGAGTTGGTTTAGTGAGAAAAAAATCTCACTTAACTCCTCAACAGATTGCTTCAGCATCCTCTAGTGTCTTTGCTGCAGACCAAATGTTGACTCTTTTCCCTTTGGTTTGTCTATGGGCTCAATAGGGAAACAGGGAAATGACTTTACCATTAATGGACATAGTCTACCTACAAATGGAAAAAGATTAAATTATCTACTTTTGTGCAAAATGATGCCTATTACCTTTGATGACAGTCTACTTGCTGAAATAGTTATATCTGCACTGCAAAACCCTGTATCCAAACTAACAACCACATTCAATGATCTTTGAAATTATTTTGTTAATTAATTCAATACATTTGTAAATATCTGCAACTTTAATATACCAGCATTAGATGGTTTTGATGGTAAATGCAAAAAGAAGATGGAAAGAGCATGTATTTATTTATAGTTATCAAGAAGAAATGAGATGCATAATGATAACATGAATTCCTTTCATTTTTAATGGAAGGAGGCGAAGAAGCAGAGATTGATAGACGTTCACATTGACAAATCCTCAGTTTTGAACTTCAATTCATATTCAAAGACATCAGAAAGAACTAAGATATTATTAAGGCAAACTGGGTATAAATTCACATGAGTACAAAGTTTGTAATCTGAGCAACTTGCTTTATTCTGTGAAAAATTATCTACAAAGTTGTCTGTATTATTTTGAAAATAAAGTGTATAGGTTCCAGTTCTGGAGCACTAGCTTGGAGAAATTGTATTTTTCTTATGTAGAAATGTCAAAAGTTTTAACAGTAGCTATGAATACATAGTATATGAATCATTTCCAAAGGATATTTTATGAATTCATGAGAGACATAAATTCCCAAATTAAGCTCTAGAATGATAAAGAGGCAATTACGTTGCTAGAGTCAACTATTTCATAACTTCTTTCAGCTTTGTTGTGCTTAATAGACTTCTTTCTTCCTCAGTAAGAACAAAAAATGTGCTCCTGACCATTATCAATTTTCTTCTATTAAAACACAAATGTATAAAGTTTCAAAGATTTTGGTGATTAATAAATCATAAATCACTTAGAGGCAACTAAACATCTTCTGAAGTGGATTAAGAGGAAGAGAAACTAAACATAACACAACTCGGAAACTGCAGCACATTTTGCCATAAGGATAAGTACAGTGATTTGATATAGAAACACAGGAAAGAGCACAACAAATGCTCTTTATCTAATTCCTTTACAATCTTGACTACTCACTCACTTAACTATCTAAAGCCACCCAGCAGAGTTTTGTAGGAATGGCGCTGTTCATTAGTGACTCAAATGCAAAGCCACTACCTCAAGCCACCAGGAGAACATGACCCAGGTCCCCCACAAAGTTCTGAGCATGAGGCTTCTCCACTGACCCACCTATGGTCAGCTCTGCTGCAGAAGGTAAATCCTCCTCTACCGTCAAAATTTCGCTCCCAGTCTATTTCAGCCCTGAGCCAGACAAGGATGTGTCCCTCTTCCTAGATAGCAAGACTGTGGCATTTTTAGGATCCAAGTGAAGGGGTGTCTTGGGCAAGGCACATGTTACACTTTAGAAAAGGGCAAAGGAGGTACCTGCAGTCTGGAGAGGAAAGATGGGTGTCATCATGGCCCCATTCCTGAGTCAGCTTCTCTAGGCCCTAGTGCTTTCTACTTCCAGCGCTGTGTGTCTGAACACCCTTCTGCCCTCATGCTCTCTTAAATGAAGTCAGGGCATGTAGAGTACATGAAGAGATGCAGGGATCTGAGAACTTGGGCATCTCGTACCATCCCCAAGGATGCTGTGACAAGGGTAGCTAGGAAAGAATGCACACCATTCTTTCTGATGAGGCCTTTCCCTTCCCATAATACATATTTTTCTTTACTTCCTCCTTCTCATCTGAGCCTTGGTGAATAAGAGAACCAGAGTGCACATCCTGTTAGCTATTTATGACCCACTTTTTAAATGGGGGTGGACCTGAGGTTGGAGTTGTCCTCTGTTTCTTGTGTACATGCTCATTGAGTTGGAAACACTGGTTATGGGGAAGAATGGTTATACAGACTGTGGGAAGCCTCCTCTCCTTGGAGGTTTTCTATGCCAGAACCCAGGAGCAGTTGGTTACAGACACACTTCAAGTTGCAAATAATGTAATGTGGAACCCTTGGCCCTAAGGAACCCCGGGAACTTATTTGTAGCATCTGAGGCACAAATAGTGAGCAATGTGGGAAGGAAACAAGTGAAAGAACCTTGAAAGGGGGATGTACTTTGAGATCACCAAGCAGAGAATTACTCTATTTTGCCAAATTCATGTAATAAAGAGAATGTGAAGCAAACCCATTAACCAACCAACACAGAAGAGAGGAAAGGTTAAAAGGAGAAAAAATCCCGGACTCACAGTGGGGTTGCATGGTAAGAGCCTTGGTAACATTGGGGCAGTCCATTCTGAGGGGAGTGGAATGCAATGGGGCAGTTTCATGCTGCTTTAGGAATTCTTTCTCTGCCACTGTTCGTCTTTTGCTCCCACCCATCTCTTTTTGACTCTGCATACCCACGGCAAGTCTCATGTCATACACAAAAATGAAGAAGCAGCAGACCTGCAGGTGGCTTCTTCCCTGAAGAAAGGTGGCTATGCATGTACTTTGATTTAAAACCTATGTCTGTCTCACACACAAATAGTAAATCCCCACATGCTCCAGAGAGCATGAACCTCTATAACATGCTCTGTAATAACTTCCCTGGGTGACACTGGCTGGAATCTGCCATATTCAAGTTCATATTATTTCTACTTCTTTCAACTTTCAAGAGTGGGCGTGAAGAAACTAGACACGACCAGATGGTCTGCCTTGAAGATTTTACCCAATCTCAGGTTATAGTTCATTTCTAACATGTTCGTTATGGCACTTTAATGATTTCATTTCTTCATAGGTTTATCCGTGAACCTCCTGGATGACTTGTATTAATTCAATGTGCTGGAAAAGCACAGATTTAAAGTGACCAAGGAAGTTTGAGTCAGTGTCCTACCACAAGCTGCCCCCTCGAAAGAGTCTGGAGGGATTTGGAGGGAAAGAAGAAGTCCTCGTGGCCATGGCAGTTTTCAAACATCTCTAGACCTCACAGGTGGGCAGGGCAAAGCAGGCACTCACTTCCACAGACAGAACTGTTTTTCTCGCTGGTGACAGCATTTAAGGTGACAGACATGGTCAGCTCGGATGTCATCATGCTCTTGTATGATACACAGTTAAGTACAGATTCCAGGAACTTTTATGACACTGAATTTCACGAGTTCATATTTTGACAAAACTTTGCAGTAACATCCACATAATCTATATCTGCAACGCCTTGTCCAGTGGGGCTGCAGTGCTAAGATGATTGCTTGAGCTCCTTGGGGAGTTAGGTCTTGACTGCCATGAAGCATAGGATGAATGCTATTCTTGAGCAAGGCTCAAATGGAGGCTCACCATGCAGGACTTTGTTACTAGGTGACATGCGTTAAATAAAAGTTTCTAGTTCCTGTCTCTCACTCTTAGGCCTACAATTGACACTGTGCTTTTGGACTGGGTCATCCTACCTGAAATCCCTGCTTCATTTGTAGTCCAGCTGGCATTGTTTTAACACGTTATTCCCACCCATTAACACAGCATGATGGAGCAACTGGTGAGGTGATCAGCTCTCCAGAGAAGGCAACGTGAAGCATGTTCTGAACAGATAGGATTCATTTTCTAATAACCCCAACCTTAGTTCCTACTCATGAGGGTGGGTCAGCAAAGGGAGTGAGAACTCAGGAGAAAGTGAGGAGGATTTCATGAAGCAGGATACAAGGTAACGTCCCTGACAATATTACTGAGTGGGGGCTGAAGGGGAAAGAGGAAGGAAGTCACATTTATTAAGCAGCAAATGCAAATTAAATCCTTCACTGATTTCATGAACTCTTCACACCACATCTACAAAACTGACATTAGTAGTTTCGTCTTAAAGATAATGGGTTAACTCAGAGCTGAAGGTGGGATTAGGGAGGTTAAGTCAAAGATGCCATGGTTCCAGATGAAGTAGTTGGCCCTACTCCAAAATCGATACAACCCTGTCCAACTGGTCCACTTCGTTCTCTCACTTTATAGCGGGCTGGAATCACCTAAGAAGCTTGGAAACCACATGACTTCCAAGCTCCATGCCGGAGATTCTCATCTTTGGGAGCCAGAAACATGCATTACTGAAACTAGCCTAGGGACTTCAGCAAGAGCTCGCCTGCAGAGCAGTTTGGGAAGCACTGTATCTTTCTTTCAGGGACCAGGGACTTTCAACACAGGGAGCAGTCCAGTAACAGAATCCTGAGCTCCCACGATGGGCTCAATCGCTTCTTCTCCCTCTGTGTATAAACCTTCGTCCTCTTAGCCCACAGCCAGGGAGTGGGGCTGCACTTCAACTCCAGTGCTCCCACTGGATACTCTTCTTTGGGGGCCAGGGGATGTCATTTACTAGTATATAGGCCTGGCAATTATGTTTAGGGTTAAAATGTGAAGGCAATTTGGGCAAGAACACTGGGACGGATTTAGTTACAGACAGGGGCAGTTGGCTAACTAGATCTCAGTCCCAACAGCCCTGACAAATGGAGCTGCTCCTTGTATTTATAGGGTGAAAAGATATCCTTACCATAATTTTCCTGGCACAAAATCTTACTGAGTAAGAAGACATTAACTGTAGTTCTATGTATGTCACACAGTGCCATCTAGTGGACTGTGAGGTCCCTCCTGGGTGCTGATGATCTGCTAGATCCTAAACTAGGTCTCCAAATTAGCATGTGGGAAGAAACTACTATATGGGAACATACATAATCATCTTTTGAAAAGTATATTTGTAGCTATTTTTATCACACCCAGTGTATTAGTATGCCCATACATATGGATGTGTATTAAATGTTATTTACTGATGGGAGGGCAATATAAAAATAAATTGAAAACTACAGACTATCAAATCTGTTTCTATCACTTGCCTCCATTCCTTTTGGTGTCTGAAGATGCGGCTCGTCGCGCATGTCCCTTTGTGTGTGCAGGTATAGATAAGTAACCTCGAGTTACCAAGGAGAGTGGTCCCCTTTCTTATAAAATACTTTCTCTTTTTTCATAGAGTGACCCTAATAATATTAAACTGTGTTTCAGTATCAGTGGAATCCCCCTTTGTCTCTCGCTCTCACACCCTCAGAGTGCTCGCTCTTTCTCTCACTCCCACTTTCATATTTCTGAACAGTCTAACCACTAACTCTTCCCTTGCCACCATACTCAACCCGTTATCACTCGGTAGCTTAAGGGATGGCAGGCTTTTTCATCCTGCTTTATTTTCAGTTCATGAAGATTGCTGCTGAATAGGCTTGATGCTTGGATGTTTCACAATTGCTTCCTGCAAAGTCTATCAGCTCAAAGATCATGGAATTCTTGCTTGCTGCAACTGTGTGTGTGTGTCCGCATGTGTTTTGTATCTCCATATATTTCTGTCCATAAACATTTGTAGGTATATACTCACGTATATATAACTGTGTTAATGTACATGTGTACTACAGTTACTCATAAGTGCACATGACCTTCTACATAGGTCAGTTGTAAACCTCAATTAGAGATTAATTCATGAAAAGTACTCAACAAAAGGCCCAAGATCTATCAAGTATTTCATAAATGTTAATGTATATTATTTTTACTGTATTATTTCAGATATATAATCAACTTATCATCTCCAGAGATTTATCTTACATTCTTCATTTGGTGAATAGTTGTAATTTTTTTTAGCAAATCGTGTCTGGGAAATATTTTCTGCTGTGTGTGAAATGTATGCTCATGTTTCATGTACTATATCCATACATTATAACTTTTGTGAATTTATAGGGCAACACTCAATTTAGCTCTTCCATTCATTACATATTCTTAAACACTGCTTGGTCTACTTTTGGTTTTTCTGGACTTAAATCCAACAAACTTTCCAGAAATGTCCCAGATACTCAGAGCTAATCTCTGTAAGCTTTTTTTAGTATATATTTTTTTATTTTC